ATTTCCAGGAGCACTTTATGCTGCTCAGCTGGACAGGAGCTGCTCAACTGGATTTGACCTCTCTTGGCTAGGCATGTCTTTAAAGTCATTCCTGGCAGGAGTCTCTTGCCAGGCCAGGCCTGACGGTTGCTCTGAATGGCAGTGTCCTGTTGTGAGCTGCGTGGATGGTGTTCATTTCTCTTTCTGAGGCTGTATGGAGTGGAGGCGGAGTCCTCCAACTTCCATATTTTCACATGCGTTGTCCAAATGGCACATGCATTTCACATTGTTTTGAATGCTGCTTAGCAACGTTACCCATGAGCGAGTGGAGCTGGTCTGAGGGCATGTGGGGATGTGTCTGCTTGAGGCTGGAGCTGTTGCAGCCTGTTTTGTTACTGGGGCACTTCTCATGATTAAAGCCTGAAGTTGGGCCTGAGGACCCTGGCATGGTTGCTTTCAACTTTGTTCATCGGCTAGAAGGTTAATTCCTGGCGTGCTGGTGAGAGAGAGGGGGTGTAAAGTTGCCTTCTCAGAGCTGTTTTATGCTTGGCACTTTAAACCCCTTTGTGTACCTCCTCTTTGGGTTTGGCTTCCTAACACTAACTCTGGCATCTGAGATCCAGGCTGCTGTGGAACTGGAGGTCTCTGCACCTTTATCTTCCCAGCCCTTCCCTTCAGGGCCAGCATTGCCACCTGCGGTCAGAGGAAGACACCAGCATTGTTATTCTGAAGGGCAGTAGCAGAATTGTTCACCTTGCAATGCAAACAGCGATCCCAAAGGCAAGCACAAATCAGCAGGACTGATGTGGCACCCAAGACCAGATACTGACCAGTGTCAGGGTGCCTTGCCCGCCTGATGTGTGGATAGAGATGTTCGGAGCTTCTGGTGTCCATTTAACTAGAGTGTGTGGATGGAGCTCCCTGCTGACAGCAGGGGAAAACATAGATGCCTGAGAAGCTGTGAGGGATTTCCCAGCTTGCTTGCTTTCACAGCAAAACCTGAGCATTCTGCTTATGAAAAATCCCTGCTCCCTTCACTCACTGTGTGGGTGGGAGGGGAGCAAGTGGTGACTCTGCTGAGTACAGTAAAGAAGAATGCTTGACTCGGAAATAGCTTTTTAGTTGAGCAGGAATTACTGTAAATGTGACTTGCGCTTTAAAGGGCCTCACACGAGTTGCAGGAGGTGGAGTCCTGCAGACTTCAGCAGGCAGCCAAGTTCCTCTGGCTGTGTATGTGGGGGGAGTCAGAGGTGCTTACACTGTGGCCCACAGAACCATGTCATCTCACCCATGGAGCTCTTCAAGGATCTGGAAATTTGGCAGTGGGGAAGCAGTGGTAGCATTAATTGCCCCTCCCCTACTGCCAAATTTCCAGATCCAAGGGGAGTTTCATGGGCCAGAGAGTGAGCATGGCTCTGCATGCCAGCTTGTGTCAGTGTGGAGTCAGGCCCCCAGACTGATCTACTTATTTATTCCGTGGGGCCAGAAGGCTGGGTGCCACTGCTGTAGGATGTTCCCTTGCATCCTTTCTATGCTATATAACTATGTAGCCCTAGTAAGACAGATCCCTAGAAATGGTGTGGTTCTCTGCTAAATGCTTTAAGCATTTAGAATAACTTTTTCAGGGTCCAGTTGATTTCATTCCCTTTATGTTTGTGGGTGCACTGCCAGAAGGGTCATCTTTGCACTGATGGTGGTCCAGAAAAAATGCAAGAAGCAAGAATTTTTGTGGATGATATCTTTTATTGGACCCACTGTGTAATTGGAAGGGACACACAAGCTTTCAGGTACCACTGTACCCTTCCTTAGGGAGAGAAGCAGACATAGCAGAGCTAAATAGCAGATGGAACAACGGCTTGTGTAAAACTCCATAAAAACTCCCTTTCTTATTTACATACAGAGTTCTACATAAGTCCTGTCCCATCTGCTCTTGCCTCTCGCATCTTTGCTTGGTGTGATTTTAATGCCTCCTGCTAGTTATCTCTGGGACCCTGAGAGCCATAGGATTTGCTGTACCTGAGGGCAAAACCATGGGCTGTGGGATTCAAGCGTGCAGTGTGATGTCCAGGTGAAAAGGTGCTGGGGGAAGCGCCATGTGTTACCTGCCCATGGCTCAGATGGCAGATGCCAGCTTGCCCTTGCATTCAGCACTGAGACATGGGAAATGTGAGTCAGACACCCAGGGGAACTTGCTGAGCTGTTCTGAGAGCTGGTTTCTCAGCGGGCTCTTTGAGAAGCTATGGGGAGGCACCTGCTCAAAGAGAGAGCCTGGGATGGAATTTCCCACCTCTTGAGAGCTTGGTTTCTCCTGCATCAACTACAGAGGGGACTCAAGCCTGCCCAGTCTCAGGCTCTCAGTTTGTTTCTTTTGCTACCTGCCTGTACAGCCCCCAGAAGGAGCCTGCCCCTTCCTAACCCTCTGGTGGGGCAGAGTCAGCAGAAGTTGCCAGGCTGGGTTCCTGTCTCCTTGATCTTGCCTGTGCAAGGCTGAGAAACATCAGAGCCTCTTGGCCTTGACCCCTCGCCTCCAAATACCCTGGTTGTCCCAGCTGTCTTGGGAGCATTTTCACCCAGCTGAAGCAGTGCTTCCTAGCGTACTTCTTGCCAGCAGTGATATGAAGCCATGAGCACTGAAGCTGTGTGTGGAAGAAGCTACAACCCTTGGGAGCTGTTGCCTTTTGTGGTATCCCTGCTCAGGGCAGCAGTGATTTGGGAAGCTGCCTGAACCTGCAGTCAGCTCTTTGGACAGAGGGAGATCACTGAATTGACCCCAGGGAGCAACCTGGGCTTTCTACCCGGTTTGTGGAATGCTTCGGCTGGAAAGTGTTTCTGGGTACGCTGGGAAGCACAGCCCACGGGAGCCAGGACCTGATGTCATTCAGTTTATTATTCCTATAGAGACGCACAATAGTGGCAGCAATGGAATAGACTGCCTAGGGAAATTGTGGACTCTTCATCACTGGAGGTGTTCAAGAAGAGTTTGGACAGCCACTGGTTCAGGATGAGTTAGGAATAGCTATACCTGTCTTTTTAGTATGCATATTTTCCATGCATCTGGGCTTTGCCGGTTGCTCCCCCTGCTTTCTGCTACGTGTCAAGGTGTTTTTAAGCCTTCCAAGAGGCATTGAGTGTTGGCTGTAACCAAAGATAGGGGATTTTGCCTGGGGTGTGCCTGTGTTTCCTCTGAGTCTAAAACCCAGAGGTTCCTGCCTAGAGGGTCTTGCCTCTTCATTCAGGATCAGACTGATAGTCATATCTGGGGTCAGGAAGGAATTTTACTTCATGGTGAAACTGGTATAGATTGTGGGGATTTTTCCCTTCCTCTGTAGTGAAGAAGCATGACCTGGGATCTCTTGAATGTATATTAACAACTTCTTATAAAAGGAGGACATTGGCTGCCATGGTACCCCTGTGTTACCTGTGGCAGGTTAGGGTGTTATGTCTTGCAATGTGTCATGGTTGCTGATGGTTTTACTAAGAGATTATTGAGTTGTATAGAATGGTTTGGATAAGGATGCTCTTGCCTCAGGCAGGAGGTTAGACTAGATGACCTCTGGTGGTCCTGTCCAGCCCTGCTTCTCTATGATCCTATGAAAAATGGCCTGGGAAGAGGAAGAGAGGGCCTTTGCCAGAAGGGGATAGATCTAGGACTGCTCCGTGTACTTAGCTTGACACAAACAGATGATGTTGGCTTGATGTGAACCAGGGTGTCTCTCTCCCTAGTTTTATAGTTTCTAGGGTCGGAAGGGACCTGAGTAGATCATTGAGTCCGACCCCCTGCCACGGCAGGAAAGAGTATTGGGGTCAAACGACCCCAGCAAGGTGTATATCTAGCCTTGTCTTAAAGACCCCCAGGGTAGGAGCCAGCAGGACTTTGCTTGGAAGTTGGTTCCAGATCCTAGCTGTCCTGACAGTGAAGTAGCGCCTCCTGATGTCTAGCCTGACTCTACCTTCTGCCAGCTTGTGACCATTATTCCTGGTCACTGCTGCTAGTGCTCGGGGAAACAGGGACTCCCCCAATGCCTGCTGGTCCCCTCTGACTGGTTTTTAACAGGACACTAGATCCCCCCCTCAGCCTTCTCTTGTGGAGGCTGAACAGGTTCAGGTCCCGTAGCCTCTCCTTGTAGGGCCTGCCCTGCTGCCCCCTGATCATATGAGTGGCCCTCCTCTGGACCCTCTCCATGTTGTCCACATCCCTTCTGAAGTGTGGTGCCCGGAACTGGACGCAGTACTCCAGCTGCGGCCTGACCGGTGCCGTGTAGAGGGGGAGGATCATCTCCTTGGACCTGCTCGAGATGCATCTGTGGATGCATGACAAGGTGCGGTTGGCCTTCCTGACTGCATCCCCACACTGCCGGCCCATGTTCAGCTTGGCATTAATGATGACTCCAAGATCCTTTTCTGCCTGTGTACTGACAAGAAGGGAGTTCCCCAGCCTGTAGGTGCCTGTTGTTCCTCCCCAGGTGCATCACTTTGCACTTGTCGGTGTTCCCTGTTTGCTAGCAATGGAATTATCTGTGTCAGTGGACTTGGACCAGGGGGGGCTCCCTGTGACCAGGCTCCCGCTCACCTTAGCCCCTTTATGCAGGGAGCCAGTTGCCTTATGGACCCCAAAGGACCAGTGCAGTCCTGGCCCTCCCTGCTTGTTGCTCACCAGGCAGAACCAGGCTCTTGGGCCCCTCAGGGGCACGAGAAGGAAAAGCATCTCCACAGTTAGATTTCTGTAACTTACCTGTCCCCTCCTATGGGGGTAGATTTATGTCCCCCCTTCCCCCCCTCCACATTTTTGGCCCTGTAGTACAGTGGAGGGGTTCACCCTGGAACAGCTCTTTGGTATAGGGATCTGTCTTTGCTCCCCTGCCTGAAATTCCTGTGCCAGGTGTAGCCGCAGTTCTAGCCCTGTAACATCTGCTGGTTGATAGAAGACGCGTTGCCTTTAACTGCTCGCTGGTCCGTGCAGTGTTGGGAAACGTCAAGGGGGTGGGGGGAGGCACATATGTGAACACCGCTTCCTGGATGATAGGGGTGAGCTGAGTTGCTGATAAAGCAGAATCCACCCATCTAGCTGCACCAGAGAGGGATCGGGAACCTTGGCTGCTGCAAAACAACGTGCTCCCTGGTGAGCAGTTTCCCCCTTGCAAACTCTCCTGTTCTGCAAAGTCCCCCATTGATCTTCTGCCTTTTAAAAGTAGTTTGATTTCCCATCGCAGTGCTAGCGGCCTCTTGCACTGGAATGTTATAGCTGAGCCGTAACATGGTCACGACTTGTTCTGTCTTTCAGCAGTCATTGGTAAGTTTTGCAATCCCTCCTTTCGTTATACTTTCACGCCTTCCTGTTGTGATGGGCTTGTACTCCTTTGTAGCACTCATCTCTCTGGGGACGGAGTTAGGAAAGTAGCTGACATTTTGTCTGAAGCGGAATGGAAGGTTTCTGAGCTCCATTATCGCTATGGAAGGCTGCACGGCAGATTCACTTTCTTGTCTGGCTTTCTGTTTCCCTTGCATAAAGGCTCTCTGAAAAGTTTAAGTTGGGGTGCGGGGGGGAAGGGAGAGAGATATTTATGGCTAATCATCTATTATAGTCCCTTGCACAAGGCAAAAATGTAATGTGAAATGTTCCCGAGTCTCCTTCCTATTTGTTGATGCTGTTCAATGCCAGCTGTGACTTTTCCGGACAGCGAGGGCTGGGCAGCTGCAGGCTGCCATTGTCTGGCATGCCCCCTTATCTCTCTTTATAAACCTGTCAGTCACTTAGGCCTTGTATAAATGTTTCAGACCAGGGTGAGAACACCACAGTGCAGCATGCTTTCCCATGGCAAATGGCACTGCTGACTTCAGGGGCTGTTGTGTGGTGAGGTTCCCAGGTTTTTCACGTGTTAAATTCACAGCCCCAGTTTCTGTTTTACATGAATCCCAGAGTACCAGGGAGCAGCATCTGGGAGGTTAAATGGTAGGAGGGCTTGGGAATGTCAGAAAGGACTGTGCCCAAGTGTCCCCTGCTCCTTTAAAGTGTCATGTGCATGGATCAGACACCCTTTTTGCAGGTCTTGGACTCCCATAGTGTTCCCTGCCAGATCTTTCTATCTGTGGTGTCTAGAAAGTGAAGCGAGCAAGTGAAAGCATGCCCTCTTCTCCCCCCGCATCCCCAGCTCCCCTCCATGTGCCATGTGCTGGTCTGCCTGGTATGCCTATTCGTCACTCTCGCCTTTTCTGCTTCATGCGCTTGCTGCATTAGTTCTGAAACACGTTTCTGATTTTATTTTCTGACTTCTTTTCTTTTCTTTTTAATCTCTAGTTCATTGTGTCTCTTGCCCAGCCATCCTTTCCTGTGAGTTGTAGGAGGAGGTTCCTGACATGCCTCTGCCTTTCTGTTGCCATCACTTCAGCCTCTGTGTGTGGTGCTTGGCTCAGCTTGGCCGCTCTGTCAATTGCCCGCCAGGTTTCCAAGGCTCCTTTAATTCGCCTTTGCTTCCCCAGTCAGTTTGTGTCAGGCTTCCTTCCTGCTCATCTCCTGGTTCAAGTTTCACCTGCTTTTCTCCCCCACCCTTCCTCAAGCTCTTCTGACTCCATTTGGGCTGGGGTAGGGTCAGGACCTTGGCATAGCCCTCGGCTGTCAGCATGTTGCCGTTACCTTTGTCTGGCTGCTTGAAGGTGGGTCCTGGGAGATCTTCATCTTCCTGCTGTGCAGGGAGCTCTGCCAGTTTAGCACCCGTTCTGGTTTCCCAGTGACTTTCTCCAGCCCAGTGGGTAGCTATAGGAGCATGACCCACAGGAGAGATGTCTGTGCAGACTTGGCCTTTGGCTTTCAGGTTGTTGCTCTTTTTTTTGCCCAGCCACCTCATTTATGTGGCTGCAGATGAGTCCCTGTGGCAGGTCCCGGGGCAGGGGTTTCCCTGGTGCGGTTCCTCAGCAATTTCTGCTTGGAAATCTTTTATTTGGAGAGAAATATTTCCTTAACCCCTTTACATTTACTGTACAAGCGTGTGTCAGCGATAGCATTTCTGAGCTGATGCAGACCCCTTGACCCTGAAGTAGAGAGTGTAGGGAGATGTGATGTGAGATTATCTTTGCTGTAGATCACAGTAAAATTACCCTGACCCCCAGCCTGTCCTTCATGACCCATTTGGATCTGATTAAGTGAGGAATGGGCATACTTACTTAAAAGAGACGAAGTTGTTTAGAACAGTGGCCTCCAAACTTTTTTGATCGCGCACCCCTATCAGTAAAAAATTTTTGAGCGTGCACCCCCAATATATGTATATTTATATAAATATAAATAAAAGTTCTAATATTTTCTTCCCATACCCCAGTGGATCATCTTGCGCACCCCACTTTGGGAGACCACTGGTTTAGAGAGTGGAGATCACCTAGTACAGCCCGGTGGGCCTAGTGTGGTTGTTCTGCTCTGGTGGCATGTTCTTATGTCTGGAGCTTTGTCTAGGAGGGTTTTTGCACTGCCGCTGCTGTGAGTATGAGAAGCTGGGAGTGCGCAAGATGGTCTAAAACAAATGAGAGAGAGAGACAGAGAGAGGCATCGTGCTCTGTGAGAGTGATTCTGCAGAGTCCCTGACCTTACATTGAAGGAGGAGGCTGATTTCAGAGCTCCCATGTTACCACGCTTGCCAGCAGCCCATGGAGCAAAAAGCACCTGCCAGAACCTTTGAAGAACTGCTTTAGTGCAGGGGGCAGCACTGAGAGCTGCTTATGAATTGTTCCATTGCAATGAAGGGATTACTTAGCCTCTCGAGAGCTTAACCTGTGCCAGACTAAAGTATGTGTAGGTATGTGCACGTGTAGGTAGAGCACATGGTGGTCTGGGGCTTTCACTGGCAGAGTGGGGTTAGTGGGCTGCAATGTGCAGAGCAGCTCTGACTGGGGGTTGACTCATCGCTCATCTGTCTGGAGCCGTCAGCCTGGTGCTCACTGCCTGGAGGTTGCTGCTGCCTTTCATACAAAGGGTTAGTTTATATTGGCACTGGCCTCCTGCAAAAGGTAGTTTCTGACCTCACCTGGGTAAAGGGTTTAATTGAGCGTGACGCTAGATTCTGTGCAAGCAAGATGAGGTTGGATTGATGTGCGGGATAGCTCGCCCTGTGCTTGATGCAGCTTTGAAATGCTGGTTGCATGAAAACAGATGTAGTTCTTGCTCACATTAGACAATCCCCCACCCCCAGCCTCCAGCTCCTCTTGGTCTAACTGCATTAGGCTGTGCATTTGCGCTGTGAGTGTCCTCTGACAAATGCAGAGCCTCCCTGGTCCTGGATGAAAGGCCCTGTTCCTGGCACTGACTGCAGGCTGCAGTAAGATTATTTCCTCATAGAAAGCCTCTTCTACCTTGAGGACCCTTCTCACCTCCCTAATACACACCTGCTCTGGAGATTGGAAAGGATAGGATGCTCTGGGGCTAGGGCATTGGGCACTTTTTTTGCTATTACAGCCCCTCACCCATGATGGCAGAGCGGCTCCAAGGGTTTGAGTCTGCTCTGAACTAATGACAAGGCTGCTGTCAGTTCACCCAGCTGTAAGGAAGTCACTTGGTCTAGGGAATCAAAAAGCAGCTTGCGTGCCGTTCTCTTCTGCTTTGCTTGGCTATAGAGACTGGATAGCTGGCCGGGCTACCAGGCTTGGGCAGTGCTTTCAGTTCTGGATCAGAAGCTCTCAGCATGTTCTGTGCAGTGGCTTGGCTGAACCTAATGACAGACTTTTTCTATGTCAGTATTTCAGGGCAGGGAAGGCCAATGCCATATAATATAAAATCTAGACCTGCCTGAAGTGCTTTTGGTAGAACTGTGCTGTGTGGAAAAACACAAGTCATGGGATTTGGAACATTTCATGGGAACGTGTCAATTCTGATTAAATTTTGCTGGACAAATAATTGAAATAAAACATTTCCTCTTTTTGCTGTCCAGAGACTTTAATATCTTTGTATCACTTCTCGATCTCTAGAATTGGTATTTCCTAGTGAGGTGCAAGTTTAAGTGGTGCTTCTGAGAAGTTTTTTGCATTTTCGTTTTATGGAGAACAGGAAGATTTCAGCTTTTCTGTGCCAGTTCTCTGGCCTTCCCTGCTTTCCCCCCAGATGCTGGAATTTCCCTGAGAATGGGTCTGGAAGGTGTAGAGCCCAAAACCTCACCGTTCAGGAGCTACAAGTGTTCAGAGCAGCATATTCATTGGCCCTCTCCCCTTGCCCACCAAACAAGAGTTGGAGTGAGCCATAGCTCTCAGTGCAGGATGTTTTTGCTTCAGCCTTTTGGGGAGGGGTGAGGAAAGACGATGACGTGACCTGACCAGTGAGTGGCTGGCTGTAGTCTATTCATATGGCCAGCCTCTGGGCTGAGCCCAGGATCTCTGTGCTGGTTCAGGTGATTTCAGTGTTGAGGGCAGCACTGTCATGTCCAGGATCTTGAGATGCATGCTTGTTGTGATCCAAGGTCAGGCTGTGTGTATGCTGTGTCAGCCCAGCTGAGAGAGAAGGCTCTGAGATAAGTCTCCTGCTGTAGGGGCATGCTGAGGCCTATTTGCTATACATTGGCAGTGGGCCTAGGGCTACCAGGAACCAGAAGCCCCCTTCAGGGGCTAGAGGAACGCCACTAAATGTACAACAAATTCCATGGGACAGATCATGAGAAGACAGGAACTGGAGTGAAGGTTATAGCTTAATAACTAAGGTGGTGGGGGAGAGCAGGTAGAGTGCATCCACTGCCTTTCAGATGTATTTAGGGTGCCTATGGAACCCACCCAGTGAAACTGTACTCAGAGATGTGTGCAGACAAGGGAGAGGAAGACAGTCGCATGGTTGCTCAAGTTCCGTCGGGCCAGCACCTTCCGGGGCTGGTAGATGGAAGGTTTGGCCAGGAGCAAGAGGAGCTTGATTAGGAAGTCCCAGGACTTTGTGGGGCTATGGACGGGGTGTGTGTAAAATGAAAGGCATGGGGAACCACAAGAAGAGAGATAGTGGAGGGGTTGCAGCCTGGCACACCTAAGCTAGGCATGCACCAAGGTCTTCCTTTCATTGCAGAAGGGATGGGTATGGGGGAACTGGTGAAGCGTGCCAGGTACGTGTACTGACAGCTCCATGCAGACGCTGCCAGCTTAAATCCCCAGTAGGTCATATCCTCAGGAACTGCCACTCCTAGCTATCTCTGTAACCCCCCTGCTGGAATTTCTATTGAAAGGCTTGGTAGAGCAGAATTGCTTCTTAAAGTGGTACTTAGTGAGTGGAGCACTGGATGGGGAATCTTCCTAATTCTGCCTTGGCCTGCCAGGTGACCTCAGGTGAGTCAGCTTCCT